CAGATCGTGTGACCATCTCAAATCAGCACTAATCTCCCAGTGGGATAACTTTAAAGATCTAATTTGAGCATGCAGTCTTTTCCTCTTTAACAATATCAAAGAGAAAAGCAACCCTCTGGGGCTTATCGCTCCTAACGTATTTCCCCTCCTCTCAGGAAGCCCGCACTCTCCCCTGAGATTTGCGCTTAAAACACAATATAAACTTAACTTCATGCCCTATAATTAATCTGACGCAATACTGCTAACAGAGGCTGATATTTTCAATAGCAAATATGGCAGATCTTGTTCTGCTTACAAATAAGATCTAATTTTAATATAAATGTTAAGTATTAGAACTGCATGTTTTCCCTCTGAATATAAATTCACACGCTTACTAAAATCAGATGCTATCCTGACCTCTAAATAAAATGGCTGAATGGGACGTTGAATGCCACTGATTTTCATTCTACTGTCCTTGCCACCCTTATCTGCCAAAATCCTGCTGAGGTGAACAGTATCGCTGCTCTGCCACCCATCAGCTCAGAGGGCACTGCCACTGGGGTAAGGTCAGGAGCCTATAACACACACAACGCTCCTACATTTTCTGACAGTAAAAAGGAACACCACCACAATATAGCAGTGACTATATCATGAAATGAAATGAAATAATGTATTACCATAATACACGTCCAAATTAAATAAAATAAAAATGAAAAATACTAGTAGATAAAACAGCATAGCAATGGTATCATATATGAATGGTATCATATATGAATAATTTTCATATTCATATCAATGTACATCTAAAAAATGCAATAATAATAATATATTATATATGTCCAAAAAATTTAATGGAAAAATAAATAAATAAATAAAAGCCAATAAACAAAAAAATATATATTTTTTTACCATAATATCATATGGTAATACCATATTTTTTTGGTAGTAATTTGGTTTCCAATTAGGCTGAACTTTTTAAAGCCCATATTTCAAAAGAACAAATCTGTTATCTTTGTTTTTCTACTTTACATTATACCATTTTGATCCTCAATTTCACTTCAAGCATGTAAAAGTTGACCATCACACTTTATCATTCATCGTTATTACATTTAAATAATCATTGTTGTCTGTATTGACCAAAGTGATTATGGCGTTTTCAGAATCCTGCATGCTATTAATCAATCTCAGAGCCCAGTGGATGGCTGTTAATGTTGCTTATATTCAACACTCTCCAATATTTCATTCAACCTAAAACAGCTACAGAAAAGGAGTGTGAAAATGACTAATGTTGGAACTGTTTAACCTACAGCAGCCTGGTGGAATGTGGACAATAGCACCCTGGGTCTACTTTCATTAATTCATTCAAAGGGCTTTTTCCTCAACTTGTGTGTCCAGCTACTAGTCCAGCTACTGTATCTGCTTTAACAGGGTATATATATATATATATATATAGAGAGAGAGAGAGAGAGAGAGAGAGAGAGCTCAACCAGCATGGAACTTCTGCTTGGAGCGAGGGAGGGTACAGCAGGGAACTGTGTCGATTGAATGGGGAATTTTTGTATGTGTGTGAGAGTGAGAGCAAGAGGGAGGGAGAGAAAAAGAGAAAGTGGCAACAGAGAGTGGTGGGTTTGCTCTTTGGGAAAGAAGCCAATCCAATTACAGGCAGCAGTGCAAGCCCGGTTTCTTCAGCTGAGCTAAATTTCACATTTCATCAGTCTCTTCCCTTCTCTCACTGCTGCTGTGCTACACTTTCTCCCTCTTTCTCTCATTCCCTCCACCTCCTCTTGCAGGTGGAGGGCAGGAATAGGCAGATCATGCAACAGACTCCATTCTTCAAAAATGAGGTGCAACCACTCACCCCTGTACAACAATATATCACCTATAGAGCATCAAAATCTTGTAACATCAGCATGGCTGCAACTAGGGCTAGGTCATACAGCTAAAAGGAAATTATACTTTTAAAATTGTTAATAAAAAAATTGATATATTGATATATAAAAATTTTGTTATTATTATTATAAAATTTTAACTATTTAATAAAAATAACAAAATACATACACACACACACACACACACACACACACACACACACACATATATATGAATATGTCTCAAAAAATACATTCTTCTTATTATTACATTTATAAATTGCTATAGAAATTCTACATAGAAAATGTCTTGATTGTAGTATACAAGTAAAATACAGTAAACAATCTGGTTAAAAATAATATTTTTTTCAATTTCTTTTTCAATTAATAATTTAATATTATATTAAAATATATTGCATATTTATTTTATTATTTTTGAATATTTAAACATTTTATATGCACCAGTATAATACATAGTAATTAAAAGTTTCATTTTTTAACTACATTAGATTAATATTTACATACATTTTTTTTCACTAGACATTTAATATGCAAAAAATGCCACAAGGAGACGCAAGCAAATCATTGAATCAGTGGTTTGTTTGATTAAATTGACAGTTGATTCATTTAAATGAATTGAACTAACAAGCTCCAGTGCCAGTTTTGCTCTAAAATCAGTGTATTAAAACATATTTTCACACATTTCAAAACATAACTACATGGTCAATAGGAATCTTTGTGGCCAAATAAAAATCACTGCAATGTCCATGATGCTGTTTAATTTTATATCACCAACAATCTCATACAGAACATTTGGTGAATGTTCAATAAATATCCAAATTATCATCCAGCCCTAGCTGGAACACAAAAGCCAGATACTCAAGAGTTGCACAGCAGGGAAAAAGGCTCATGGACAGAAAACAAAGTATCTCACAAATCCCAGCTTCCTGAGCTCTCAAGGCTCGTCTGTGTATTCTCCAAGAGACACACTTTTTGGGGCTTTGATAGCTCCCTAACCTTTCCAAAACACACAAGCTCTCATAAGGCCGTCTCATCCTCTTCCTCGACACTGTTACGCCTTGTGCAGATGTGACTGAATTCTCAGGGTTTGCAGAGACTATCGCAAGACACTCAGTATTTCCATCTAGGGTAATACCTCTCTAATTCCACCATATCGGTATGTTTCATTCTCCGTTCTGCCCACTAGGGCGGCGATATGAGACTCCAAGCAAGCTTGAGGCTAGAAAAACATGCCACGGCAGCACTTCTAAGAGCACAGCGCTGTTGGCCTAATTTAATTTCACCAACCGCGAGGAGAAAAAAAATTACATTAATTAATAAGCCACTAAAACAAGAGGATTACAGAGAGCGAATGCCTCCGATGCCACTTCCTGATTGCAGTGCTGATTCAATTATAAATTAATTAATCAAGACGCAAAACACAATTTGGACGTTGCCGTGCTACCGGCATGAAACAAACACTCGGTTTGACACTTTGACATTGTCCGTTCTCCCTTGCGTCTGGGAAGGCAGCTGTTATTTGTGTGTGTTTGTAGGGGGGCAGGTGGGAACGAGGGACAAAACCAATGTTTGTAGAGCAGGTCTCTCTCTGTCTTCATCCCTTTGGTGTCTCCTGCAGCTGCTGTGGGGTGAGGACATGCCTGTTCCTGCTCGTCTAACAGGGTCTGGCCTGTCACTCAACGCTGTCGTGCCCCAAAGGGGGCATGAGTCCCAAAAGCAGCTGACGGACCCCTTGTCATTTTCATAATTGCCTATTGCAGGTAGTCTCGTCTTGCTACTAACCACAGCAGTTCCATTAGCCACATGCTAACATGTCAACACTTAATGAACTGGATGCTCAACAAAGGGCAAACATTTTGAACCACACAAATAGATCTGTAAAGTCAACATGAAATCAAAATTACTTTCTCAAAACACTTATTGGATTAATCGTGCGCATTTCAGTTCATGTTTATGTCAGTATCGTTATTGTTAACTAAAATAATTAGCAAATCCGTTTCAGTAATTGAAATAAAGCTGCAATAAAATATTACATTTTTATGAAAGTGAAGTGTTGCTTTGGCAATAAATAAATAAATAAGTTTAAGTACTAAAATTACTAAAACTAAAACTGAAATAAATATAAAGCTTTTTAGAAATATAAAAAAATAAAAATGCCAAAACTTAAAATTATTAAAACTTAAACTAAAATGAAAATATAAAAGATATATAAATATAATTCAAAATATTAATAAATACTATAATAATATAAAAAATACTAAAATAAAACTGGTTTATGTAGAAAAAATTTGTTTTTCATAATCCTAAATCAAAAAGGCCAAACTGTCTCTGGCTCAGAAACTATTTTTCTTTTTGGCTGACGACATCTAGAGCAGAAATAAATATATCCTATTAGCTAAAAAGTTATTTAGTTATTGTTTTAGGCTTATGTTGTACTGTAGGTAACACAGCCTTTCTAAAATTGTGTCAATAGTTAGCACAGTAATTTATGCCTACGTTTTTAGATAAATGAAGATCGATTTTAGATAAATAAAATTATGTCCCACACGACATCTGTTTCTTGTTAAATATAGCAAATCTAATGGGTAGTGAAAGGCGTTTCATGTTGACTTAAGTGATAGAAGTTGAGTGATGGTTTCTTGTCTATTGCTGCCATTACCAACCAAAAAGGTGCATCTAACACCACATTTTCTCTTTATGCCCTTTATCTGAAAGAGATTATAATAACGCATATGATAACCCTAACAGTGTCTGGCTCTTCTGTCTAACATCCTTTCCATGGGTTTGGCTGAGAAGACATTCTATTAAAATTAATAGACTAGGGAGGCAGACAGGAACCCCTGAGGTCGCTTTAAGCTGCCCATTATGGTCGGGAAAGTGAACAGAACCAGAAGAATCCTACAAAAAATTATTGAATATTTAGTCAAAAAGTTTCTGGTTCCCTCTTCTCCATCTCTACTTTTAAATGAGGCCAGTAGAGCACTTCAAAGCAGTGCTCCAGAAGACACCATTAATAACTAACATGACACACTGTTTGCGGTCCATTTAACTCAAACACGTCTAACTCTGTACACATCTCAGATTCTCAGCACAACGTTCCAAAACAAAAAACCCATCTGCGACAAGACTCACCTTTTTCAGTCGTCCACTCTTGGTGCCAACAAAAGCCACACAGTAGCCATTATAGATGTAGGAGGTCACCGAGGTCATGCGATCACGGTTTTCTGTATAAAGTGTGTGTCCGGTCACCAGCTGAGAGCCGCCAAGGGGCTGGTTGATGTCCAAACCGCAGAAGGAGTCATCAATAGGGACAGGCTACAGGAGGAGAAAGGTCAACCGAGAGTCAGCAGTTTGCTTTGAATCTAAAAGTCAAGGTGAGTTCGGTTGTTTATACAGACATCAGTTAGAGGGTGAAAAGGTTGCACTGATTTTAATACAGGGAAGCACTTTGTAAGCAAATCACATTAACCGATCCAACGTCAGCTGGTTGTTTTGATGTCAAGTGAGGGTAAGCAATGGATCAGGGAACACTACAGGTCAATTTGCACCATTTTTAGTGCAAATAAATAAATAACATCAAAAACTGTTAAGACAAAATTATGGATTTTTACAACCACTCTCACACAAAAATACTGTCTGAAATGTTGTGCTGTGATGATTTGTAACTTGTTTTATTATTAGTAGCATTTTTTTTACTGTCTACCAAAAAAAATCAATGTAGGTATTTGGGATTACTGTAAAATATATATTTTTAAATGGCTTTAAGATAAAACCTACACACTACCACTTAAAAAGTTATTTGTGCGTTTTAATTAATTTTTAGCAAGGATGCATTAAATTGATCAAAAGTTACAGTAACGTTGCAAAATATTTCTATTTCAAATAAATGCTGTTCTTCTGGACTTCATCAACGAATCCTTAAAAAAATGTCATGGTGTTCACAAAAACTTTAAGCAGCACAACTTTGATAATAAACATCCAAATTTCTTTCATGGGCAGCAAATCAGCATATTAGAATGATTTCTGAAGGATCATGTGACACAGAAGACTGGAGTAATGGCTGCTGAAAATTCAGCTTTGCATCAAAATAATTTATTCTTTTCTAAAATTTATTAAAATTGAAGACAGTTATTTTTAATTGTTTTTCATTGAAACTGTAAAAACTGTTTGTTACTGTAATTTTAATCAAATAAATGCAGACTTGGTGAGCATAAGATACTTCTTTAAAAATATTTTTAAAAATCTTATGGACCCTATACTTTTGAACAGTAGCGTATATTCACTATGAAATTTTCCAAGACTTTTCCAAGCATGGAAATCACTGTTCTCTGACATTTACACGTTTTCAGTGACTGTGGGATTCAGTTTTACTAGTGTATCACGCTATCAAGTGATGCCCAACCAGCTGGTAGTTTGCATTTGCAGTGAAGGCCAGAGAATACGGACTCTTGTTCAGTTTCTGAGAGGAGACAGTAACCGGACCACTGAGTGTGGTTTCCCCAGCCAGATGCTTGGTTTTCATGTTCCCGCTCTGCTCTGGTGAGTCCTGCCAGGCTCCCTGACTGCCTCATTACCCTGTGCTATAAGAATAGTGTAGCTCACCCCGGCTGGGGACGAAAGCACATTCACACACACTTACACACCACACCAGCCGAAAACAACACCTATACAGATGAGACCAGGGCCAAAACCATAAGCACACAGTCTCTAATTCTGCTCTAAATGATCTAGTCAGGGACAGAGTGTTTCTATAAGTTCAGGCACTTCTTTGTTGCAATTAATTTTTTAATTAAAACTAACAAATTGTAACATTTTTCTTTTAAAAACTTTTTACCACGCCACCTTTATTTCTGCTATTTTCTAGATGCAGACTTTCAATCTTATACTATTAAAATGCATAAAATGAGCATATAAATAAATGAATACTTTCAATCTTTATATATTTATTTATTACAACTTCCACCTCATTTCCATCTTTTAAGTAAATATGAATATCAACATATTTTAGTGTGTATTTTCAATTAAGTTATAATTTTGTCAAATTATTATTTTTATTTATTTATTTACCTAATTTGAATTGACAAATAAAATTTTCGATACAGAATGCTGCTAAACATCATTTAAGATGTGGTGGAAATGACTCTTGGAAATGACTTTCAGAAAATGTACAGAATCCTCTGGTTCTCCATGTATATCCACTTTTGGACACTGTTAGTAACTAGTCAGAGTGTGAAATATGTGTCCACAGGGCCAAAAGAAACACCATATTTTTCCCTCGCTCGCTTTCTATTGCTCTCTCCTTGTATCTCATCCTCTCTCTCAGACACACACATACACACCACCTTAAACTAAAGAGATTGAAGCTTATAAACATTTACAATCTAATGGGAGGGCCTATGGTCCATTTTTCATGCCACATGCATGCATGGGCCACTATCAATCCCCATTTGAGTTTGGGCGGCGAGTTACAACACTCAGCGGCGTTTAGATTCAGGACATCGGAGTTTGTGACTGACACTGGCCTCAAAGTGCCATGTAGAGTAAGAGAGATGGATACTGTACGCTCGGTCATGATGCTGAACGCAGCACTGCTCGTCCCCAACACTCCGCAGCCTTTTAATATCAGCCTGCTCGACTACAGGCTCACGCTATAAAATCTTTACTGCCTCCCAGCCCTTCACAAGCTGGGGAAAGCAATAAAGCAGGGATGTAAATGCCTCGTACTCGGCAGATCTCGTTCCAGCCCTTCTTCATCATGTTTTCTTTTATTTTTCAATCCAAAAATAACCTCCTTAGAGATTTTCAGATCTGTTCCTCAAAAACAGTTGGCCTTTGACTACATTATTTAAATATGTTTATATGCAACATCCTTTTTAGTCAGTCCACTCTGTATTCATCTTGGTAATGCCCTAGGGCAGCTATATTCTGGTCTTGCAAATCTTATGCTAATTTAGAGAAAAGGATTCATTCTACAGCTTATATACTTCAATGGGGAAAGACCAAAATTTCCCAAATTGATGATGAAATCTGGCAAGGATGGTATCATAAATTTTGCTACTTTAAATGAACTAAAGTAGCAAATGTTACATTTCTAAATTTATAGAATTTAATCAATCAATACGATTATTAACTTGAATTAATTGATACATTTTATATATGTTGTTAAATAAAATCTTACACTGAGTGTGAGCTTTTTAACCTTCAGCGCCAAAGTTTGCTTCCCTTGTGCTCTTTGTTATGGAACCTATCTAAAGTGCCTGATTAGATATTCACATGCAACACTTATGCTCATCACTGGAACCCATTTCCTATTACTGCTGTTTCAGGTAGGGGGTTATTGTTCCATACACAAATCTGGACAAGGGTCGCTACTTTGGAAGCCACCTGATCAAAAGAGTGTCCTCCTTAGATCAGTGCTCAAACTAGCACTGCGATAGGCTTGATCAGGCAGCCTGATGAAACGTAACACCGGCTGAATGAGTGAATAGCATCAAAGGGCTGCATGTAAAGCAGCGAGCAGGATGGCCAGGCAGGAAGACAGTTGCAAGCTGGGCTCTGTGATAAATCTTTCATTCAGTCTTCTCGGCTTATGACTTCTCTTCCTATCACCCTGTGTTTCTCTAAGTTTCACTTTCTCTGTGATTCAGCAGAGACACTGAAGCCGAAGGAACTAGACCAAAGTCAGCGCAGAGACCATGTTTCCAGTAATCAAAAATAGCCTGAAATAACTGACAGGAAATTAAACAAAAACATCACGGTAGGGGATTTCTAGCAGTATTTTTTAGGTAAAATGAGCTCTAATAGCAAATGAAAACGTCTGAGGAGGATTATTTTACTGTAAAAATATTTTCATACTCCTACTGGTCATGAAAAGGGAGTAAACAAAAAGCTTGGTGGCAGCAAGAGGATGGTGAGTTGTGGCGTTTTATTCATGTGGGCTCACAGACTTCGCTATGCTAATCGTTAAAGATCTACCTGCATAATACCATAGATGTATTGAACGGCATTGACTGAGGAGTGTTTACAGAACATATATCTTCATATTTTAATATCTCAGACCTCCTCCTTAGTCAATCCTGACATTCCTCTAGTAACAGAAGAGAAGATGCAAGAGGTTTCTAGTGCAATGTTTTTAATGAGGCCTAGAAAAACATGGAGGAGGGCTGGCTGACATCATAAGCCACTGACGGCCCCCCTGGGGTCAGACAGGGGATCCTCTAGGGTCCTTAATGGGGCCAGAGTGGAGTCGGCTACTATGAAGACCACCCTGGTCAGACACTCAATAATGTTTTCCTCAGAGTGACAATCACCTCTGACATCATGCTAATGGAGAATTTACTGAAGCTAATAAAGGATGCCCTGGAGGAAACCACATAGCAATAGTTTGTCATTAAGACTCTCTCTTAAATTTCACACAGATGCAAAACAATCAATGACAGCTAGAGTTGGGTATCGAGATCCAGTTCCATTTTAGAACCATTTCAATTTCTGTACCTGAAATTTGTTCAGTTGTATTTATTTTTATTTTATTATTATTTATTTTTATCTTATTGGAATCAAAACTAGGAATCAATAAGAATCGGAATCGATAAGCGGAATCGGAATCGAAAAATTTCAAATGATACCCAACTCTACTGACAGCCATAAAACAATACACGCATTCATATTTATATTTATATAAGCATCAACACACCACTTGTCAGTGTGGTAACTTGTAAATAAACATACGCACAGAGAATTATTAGTGCCTATAATTCAATTTGTTTACACCCCCAGTTAAACAGCAAAAACTGTGATCTTTTGGGAGCAAGACTAGTAAAGAACAAAGAAAACGCAAGAGTAATTTCATGTGGTCTTTTGTGTGACATCCTGTAACTTCCTGCCTTATTTATTAAATTTGTTCTGGAGAGGAATATTACCACTTTGACATGACACCCATTTACCTAAACTTTAATGAAGCCACTCATCCTATCAGCGCTAAACAATTACCCATAACTACAGATGGATAAAGAATATTTTGAAAAACAATTTACAATTACAAAAACAAGTTGAAAGGATTAGTCTAAAATTAATTTCATGGGATTTGTTGGGGTGTGCTTCATGCTTAGACTAACCCTAACTCTGCCTGACATTCAATCCTGTAGGTTGCAATGTTCAACAGGATTGCTTGGATAGTATCCTGTTACACTCTTAAGAATGAAATATGGATATGCAAGAACAACAACCAGCAACATAAACATTATGATGCAGATCCTATCTTTATTCCAAAGAAAACAAAATTAGTAACAATTCCCCATCTGACTGTTTTGATCTACTGAGGTCTTCTAGTGAGCAAAAGCAGGCTTCGGAACTGTCAGTTTCTTAGAGGGCAAAAAAATGTATATTGCGCCAAGAGAACATCATTCAAAGGCAGAGAACTCGAAATAAAGCTCTTAAATAAGCCATGCACACAACAAGCTCAATTAAAGGGGTCATATGATGCGATTTCAAGTTTTCCTTTCTCTTTGGAGTGTTACAAGCTGATTGTGCATAGATAAGATCCCTGAAGTTGCAAAGACTAAAGTCTCAAAACCAAAGAGATATTCTTTATCAAAGTTAAGACTCTGCCACGCCCCCCTAAAACGGCTCATTCTAACACGCCCCCACATATCTACCCCACTATGTGGAAATATTTGCATAATCCCGCCGCAAATGTGCACGCAAAGAAAGAAGGCATGGTGTCAGTAACCGCAGTTAGTGTTGAAGCAGCCATGTCAAGGAGACGCTGTGTGTTTCTAGGCGATTTAAAAAAGCATCATATGACCCCTTTAAAGTAGTACAATTTGTAAAGAGCTTCCATGATTAGGGTTTCAGATACTACATCTAACAATGCTTCAAATTCAAAGCTGGTTTAACAAGCTAATTAGTAAGCTAGCTGCTGTGGCTAGTAATAACAAAAAGGTTTCTTACCGCTTTGGTACAAGGTACATCCTTTCCCAACAGCCAGTTAAGCTCCAAGTTCCCCTCTCCCTGATAGCAGGATTGCATTCGCTCCTTGATCCGTGCATTGATGTCCCGAATGCTGAAGACACAGAGGGCTGAGTCATCAGGTGGATGGTGGTACTGTTTTTGACCTTTGGAAAAGACAGCAAAGAGCACATCATCTTGAGCGCTAATGTTGAGGGATGCCGCAAGCACTCGTCCAGGCTTGCCCAGGTAGGCCGCCTGCAGAAGGCGGTACTCAATTCTGTTTCGGACACAACCAATAGGCAATGACACATAGGAGTGGAATTTGTGGTCATCTTTGCAGAGTCGGACGATTCGAGAGGTGTAAAATAGGTCGTTTGAGGGCCCGCTGGAAGACAAGCTGTTCTCGGGCGTCTCCGGTTGCACGGTCAGAAAGTAGACGAAATTGCCGCTGGCAAAGCCATAGATGTAGTAGATGTCGAAATGAGAGACCAACGCCAGGGTGTCGGAGGGAATCTTGATGAGAGATGAAACAAAGTCAGTGTGTAGCTCGTAGTCCAGCATAGCTGAAGACTCCGGGTCACGAGGAAGCTTCCGACTTGAGATGGTTGGAAAGTAGTCTTGCTTCCCATCCACAGCTGTACCAATGAAGAGGGTCCCATCCTTGCCCTGTGAGGGCACGATGACTCCATACATAGTGCCCGTCTGGTTGACACTGGAGAGGTAGTGCTCCTTTTTGTGAGACGGCTCCACCAGAATGAAGAGGTCATCCAACCGTAGCAGTTTGCAGACACCTTGGTAGAGACTTCCGCAAGCAAGTAGTCGGTTCTGAGAGTAGTCGATAAGTAAAAGTTTGTTGATGTTGTTGGTAGAAACCAATGGTTCAGAGCAAGGCTGAACGATAAGTGGAGGGTAGCAGGCCTTGTTGTCATCTTCTGGACCAGTATCATGGGATACTAATAATGTCAGGTTTCCCGATAACTTGTAGACACGGTTGACAGCACCAATGTAGAGTGCTCCTGTCGTCTTGTGAACCGTCATGTGGTTGAAAGCCCATTCTCGTCGCTCAGGGTGAAACGTTGTAAAGGACTGTTCACAGGACACTACAGACAAGATTAAGACTAACAACCAACACGTAAAGGACAATTTAGAACCACATCCAGGGCTTTGTTTCAGAGTCCTCTT